CCTGGGCCGTTGGCGGCGCCGAACCTCGGAACGACTGCGGCGGGGCCAGCCGCCGCGCCGCCACGGCACGAGGCCCCCCGCGAGGAACGGGGGGGGGCTCCTTCCAAGCCCGCCCCTGGGGGAGAGCAGCGCGGCACCCACCCCGCCACGGGGGGCGACGAGGGAGGAGGAGGAGGGAGGAGGAGGAGGAGGAGGAGGAGGAGGAGGAGGGAGGAGGAGGAGGGAGAGGAGGAGGAGGAGGAGGAGGGAGGAGGGGAGGGGAGGGGGAGGGGGAGGAGAGGAGGGGGAGGGGGAGGGGGAGGGGGAGGAGGAGGAGGAGGAGGAGGAGGAGGAGGGTGAGGGGGATGAGGAGGAGCAGTGCAAGCCCAAGAGTCATCAACGAGTTTGGAGTAAACCCTCCCTGCAAGCTCCCTCTTCACAGGCCCCTGCAGCGATTCACGTCCACTGATGGAATTGCCTCGTTGAAGACACCCGCTGCAAGACCCTGAGGCATGCCAAAACATTGTTCTCGGGACTCCAACGCCACGGATCAACCTGATCGTTGCGTCTTGACGATCCTGAATCGTACCAGAACGCCATTCCTAGGACTTCCAGCGCAAAGAATCACGTAACTGTTGCAACCGCATAATCCTGAATCCTCACAAAACCATTCCTCGTACGTTGATGATGGGAACCCGTGAAACCCTTGCAAATGTTGTAAACGAATGTGCGCGGCGCTAGGCGGCGAGAGCCACATTTTGAAAACGACCCGCCCTCAATCCGTGACAGTCTTGCAATTTGTTCAAACGAACGTGCGCCACGCTAAGGCGAGAGCCACATTTTGAAAACCACCCGCCCTGAATCCCGAGAAACTGTGGCCAATTTCTAAGCATCCGAATCATAAATGGTGAGAAGTCTCGGGCGAAACGCCCGGCCCGCCCTAAAAACGACAGGGAGACCTTATCTATCAGGGGAGAAGCACGGAGGAGGAGGAGCGAGGAGGAAAACGGGTCGCCCGAGCCCCTCCGGAGAGACCCTCCACAGGGAGCTCCTTCCGAGAGCCCGCCCCTTGGGGAGGGCAGCGCGGCACCCCCCCGGCCGCACGGGGCGACGAGGGAAGAGGAGGAGGAGGAGAAGGAGGAGGAAGAGGAGGAGAAGGGGGAGGAGGAGGAGGAGGGGCACGTCGCGGGCGGCGAGCACGTCCGCACCCGCGCCCCCGGGGGCCTGGGACTCCGGGGGGCGCGACCCCACGGACGCGCGGTGTTCCCCCGGCTGCGCACTGCCCGCGGCGTGCGCGAAGCGGCGCCCCGACTCCGCGGGGGGCGGGGCCCGGGGGGGCCCTGCCCGCGCGGACACGCAGGTCCTGATGCGCTGTGGTCGCCCACGCGTGGAGGGTCGTGGTGGCGGCATCTTTTGCCTCTTCCGGAGGCCTCTTCCGCATCCCCCCCTGACCCCATCCCCCCCTGACGTTAGGAACAAGGACAAGCGACACATCCACCACCAGGGACCACCAGCGGGAGGAGCCGTGGGGGGTCCCCCTGGTGGTGTAGCCCCCATCCCCCCTCTAGCTCGGGACATCCCCTATCCCCAGCTTGGGGAGGCATGGTGGACCTCCTCGCTGGAGGTGGTCCCCTTGGTTAGGGGCCTCCTAGATGGAGTCGGAGTAGATGGGGTCGGAGGACCGCGCCAAATCGCCGATGATTCGCCAATGCATCGGCGATGCATCGGTGACATCGGCGATGCATCGGCGACGATGGCGTGAAGAAAGTCCGGCTCCACATCGAGCCGCATCGGCGATGCATCAGCGATGCGGCGCGGCGCGATCCTCTGACCCATATACTCCGACCCCATCTGGGAGGCACACACACATATATATATATATATATATATGAAAGAGCGTGTTCTACGCTGCTGGCGGAAAACCGAGGGGGGGTCACTACCGGTTCGAACCCCTCCCCATGCACCCCCCCACCCCCCCTCCGGAAAACCAGGGGGGGGTCACTACCGGTTCGAACCCCTCCCCCTTCCCCCCCCCCAGTTCATCATGAAAAGGGGGAGGGGTCACTACCGGTTCGAACCCCCCCCCCATCGAACTCGAAAACCTGGGGGGGTCACTACCGGTTCGAACCCCCCAGCCCCCCCTCGAAAACCGAGGGGGGGGGGGGGGGGGGACAGTGGTGGGGACGGGGTGGTGGGGACAGTGGTGAGGGGACAGCGGGACAGTGGTGGGGACAGTGGACAGTGGTTGGGGACGGTAGTGGGGAGTGGTGGGGACAATGGTGAGGACAATGGTGGGAACAGTGGGGACAGTGGGACAGTGGTGGGGACGGTGGTGGTGGGGACAGTGGTGTGGGGACAGTGGGAATGTGGTGGAAACAGTAGGACAGTGGAGGGTACAGTGGTGGTGGGGACAGTGGTGAAGGCGGTGGCGAGGACGGCGGTGGGACAATGGGACAGAGGCACAGTTGGGGACAGTGGGGACACAGTGGTGGGAACAGTGGGACAGCTCAGTGGGACAGCGGAGGAGTCAGTGGGACAGTGGGGACAGTGGGGATAGTCGGGCAGTGGTTGGGGCCGTGGGGAAGTGGGAGAGTGGAACCGTGGTGGGAACAGTGGTGGGGACAGTGGGGACAGTGCGACAGTGGTGGTGGCACTGGTGGGGACAGTAGGGGCGGTGGTGGAACCAGTGGGGACAGTGGTGGTGAGGACAGTGGTGCTGGGAACAACAGTGGGGGATGTGGTGAGGACGGTGGTAGGGACCGGGAGTCGTTTGCTGGCGGTGAGGGGGGGGTGGGGAGGGGTTCGAACCGGTAGTGACCCCCCCTCCGGTTTTCGAGGGGGGGGGGGGGTCGAACCGGTAGTGACCCCCCCCGGTTTTCGAGTTCGGGGGGGAGGGGGTTAGGGGAGGGGGGGGTTTCTGCCGGGGGAGGGGGGAGGGGTCCAGCAGGGGGGGGGCGGGGACTTTCGGAGGGGGGGGGGGGGGACCCCCGGGTTCCCGAGTAAAGGGCGGCAAGTTTCTACAGTAAAGCGGCGGTGGATCACGCCTCTCTCTCTCTCTCTCATCTCTCTCTCTCTCTCTTATATATATATAATATATATATATATATATATATATATATATATAGATCTATATATCTTTATATAACCTCCTCGCTGGAGGTGGCCCCCCTGGTGGTGGTGGTGCCGCTTGCTTTCCTCCCCCGAGACAGAGCGCCCCCCGACTCCCGGCGGCACGCAGAAGAGCCACCCCAGGCAAGGAGTGGCCCTTTGGTGGTGGCGCGAGGGGGCCAAGCCCGAGCGTGCAGGGCCGCAGCCATCGCATCGCACGCCCGGCGACGCGCACCAGGGGGGAGGGGGAGGGGGGAGGGCTTCTTGGACGAGGCTGCTCCTTCGAAGGAGCGGGTCTTGTCTAACTATGGACGGCTGGCGCCTTCTATGGGATGCTCGTTCTGGGGACCTTCCTGGAGCCACTCGCTCCACTCGTGCGTCGAAGCTGCGTCGAACGTCAGTCGATGTGGGTCGACCCTGAGTCGAACCTGAGTCAAACCTGAGTCGAACCTGAGTCGAACTTGAGTCGAACTGTAGTCGAACTGGGGTCGAACAGATCCGTTAGGTGGGCTCTAGGAAGGTCCCCGAAACGGGCATCGAACTTCTACGCAGCAGCCTCCTTGTAAGAAGGCTTCCCCCCTCCCCCTGCACCCTGCGCGCGCCGCCAACATTCGGTGGTCGGTGGGGCCCAAAGGCCCCGCACCAAGGGCCACTCCGGCAGGAACGCGTATGTCCTGTTTTTGTTTAATGCTGGGCCCCGGAGAACCCCGACACTTTCCGTGGGGCCAGGTTTTCATCGCGAGTCGGTGTCTGACAGTCCCGGGGCCCGGCGAGGGCCCCCAAAGGCCGAAAATGGATCACGACCTCCAGTCGTCCTGACTTGTGCAACGACCTGCTGCATGACAGGGGGTATGTCGACGCCTGCCCTTGGCTTCGGAAGGTGGTCGACTGGACCAGAAATCTGGGGCCCAGCCCTGCGATACACGACGGGGGGGATCCATCCTCGATGGGGGTGCGTCCGAAATAGCTCCCTTGGGGTGTACCCCGTGGTCCCCCTCCTTTTCTGAGCGGCTTCATTTGTCGAAGACGAGTTGGGGCTGGGGAAAGAAAACTCGCCTTCGGGTGAAGTCGCGTCTCATTGAGCAGGGACCGACCGTCCCGGCATTCCTATAGTCCTACCACGCAATTCTCTCAGAACCCAAAAATGTTCCAAGAACAAAAACAATGCTCTTAGAACACAAGCCCGATGTGCTAAACCAAGACGGCCCCAGTCAGGAATGTCCTAAGCACATTCCGTGCAAACCACTAAGGGTTCACAGAACACTCTCTGGTGGGGCTGCAGGCGAGCCAGGACGCTTCGCCACTGCTCGATGCGTCTCTGCCAGCTGGAAGGCCGCGCCGGCGCGCTCGAAGTCGGGGATGGACAGAACCCCCTTTCGCAAAACGTGGTTTCGTATAAACGACCTCGGGCGCAAAAACCTGGCGGGCGCAAGCGTGGAAAATGACGGCCGCGGCGACCTGTCGAGAACCGAACACGGAGAATTCGCTACTCGACGTGTCAATGTTGGGAGGTCTGTCCACCCCCGCACCCTGCGCGCGCCGCCAACCTTCGATGATCGGTGGGACCCCATGGGCCCGCACCAAGGGCCACTCGGGCAGGAACGCGTATGTCCTGTTTTCTTTAAGTGAAGGGGCCCAAGGACACACAAAGAAATACACACGAATAAAAATAATCCCTTCTATTTTCCCCTATTGTCTGGGAGGGGGAGGGGGAGGGGGAGGGGGAGGAGGAGGAGGAGGAGGAGGAGGAGGAGGAGGAGGAGGAGGAGGAGGAGGAGGAGGAGGAGGTTCTTGTCCACCCCCGACGGAGGCGGCGCGCCGCGGGGGCGCCCCGGGGCGGGCGCCGAGCGCGGGCGCCGCGCGGGCCCGCGGAGAGAGGCGGCGTGGAGCGGGCGCGGCGCGGGCGGCGCCGCCTGCTGCCAGAACTCGGCGAGCTCCTGCGGCGTCGCCGTCGCTTTCCGTCGTCGCCGCCGTCGTCGCCGCCGCCGCCGCCGTCGTCGCCGTCGTCGTCGTCGCCGTCGTCGTCGTCGTCGCCGTCGTCGTCGTCGTCGTCGTCGTCGTCGTCGCCGTCGTCGTCGTCGTCGTCGCCGTCGTCGTCGTCGTCGTCGTCGTCGTCGCCGTCGCCGTCGTCGTCGTCGTCGTCGTCGTCGTCGTCGCCCGGCGTGCCGTCCCCGAAGAAGGAGCGGGGCTTGCTCGAGGAGAGCCACGATTGGCGACCGCATCGACGTCCACGCCCTCGCGGTCCGGACTCCAGGGGCACGACACATCCCGCGGGGGTGCGGCCGCACGGATACGACCCGCGCGGGGCAGCCACGATCAAAACGCCCCGTATCTGGAGGCCTCCCTGGATGGGGTCCGGGTAGAGGGGGTCGGAGGATCGCGCCTCATCGGCAATACATCGGCGATGCATCGGCAATGCACTGGCGATGGATCGGCAACGTCGGCGATGCATCGGCGACGCCCGCGTGGAGAGAATCGGGCTCCGCATCGGCGATGCATCAGCGATGCGGCGCGATCCTCTGAGCCCATCTACTCCGACCCAATCTGGGAGGCATAGATATCCGCAGCTCGGGGAGGCATAATGGACCCCCTCGCTGGAGGTGGCCCCCCTCTGGTGGTGGTGGTGCCGCTTCTTTCCTCCCACGGGACAGTTCGCCCCTGACTCTCGGCTGCACGCACAAGAATTACTCCGATCCTAAAGTATCCGCGGGGTTGCAGACCAGCGGCCCCGCCTGCGCGGCCGCGGATACGGAGATGCCTGTCGCCCACGAGGAATGAGGCGGGCGGCAGCGAGTGTGCGGCCGAACGGAAGTTTTCTCGCAGCCCGGCCATCAAGGCGGAGTATTCGAAGAAGGAGGAGGAGGAGGAGGAGGAGGAGGAGGAGGAGGAGGAGGAGGAAGAGGAGAACGAGGAGGAGGAGGAGGACGAGGAGGAGGAGGAGGAGGAGGAGGAGGAGGAGGAGGAGGAGGAGGAGGAGGAGGGGTGGGAGAGGAGGAGGAGGAGGAGAAATAAAAAGATGAGGAGGGGTAGGAAGAGGAGGGGGGCCGGGGCCGCTAGTCGGGCAACAGATCACTGCATCAGCGTACACTGTCAGACTCCCACTCATCCTCCTCCTCCTCCTTCTCCTCGTCACCCCAGCATCATCATCCTCACTAGCACCACCACCACACTCCTCAGACTCATCATCATCGTCCTCATCTTCATTATCGCCTTTTCAACGGTATTCTTTTTAGAACTGGTCGCTCTTATCTGCTAGCGTGCCATTCGAATAGCATATAATCCCCTTCGTCTACCATACTCGCCCTCGATCCATCCCCCCTTCATCTTCGTCGTCGTATCAACACGCTCGATGCCCGCCCTCTTCGTCTTCGATAGTACCCCCTAGGGGGTATATCTTCCTTACCAGCCACGTGTAGTTGGCGCAGCCCCTGGAGCAGGGGAAGAGAGGGAGGAGGGAAGAGAAGGTACACAAGGAAGAGAGACGGATGGAGCACGAGAGACCGCGCGCGACCCAATCTGATGCGCAAGGCTTCCCGTTATAACCAACAAGGCGCGAGCCCTGGAAGTTGCGCTCCATTAGAAAAAAACAATGAGCACCAGAAGGGGGGCTCACCAGTAATGTTTCTTTAGAATGGGAAACTCAAACAAACCACCATCGCCAATCACCAGCATCGTCCTCAGCATCTGCATCATCATCATCATCATCATCATCATCATCATCAGCATCAGCATCATCATCATAATCATCATCATGCGTCATCAACATCAGCATCATCATCATCATCATCATCATCATCATCATCATCATCGTCATCATTAGCATCATCATAAGCAGTATCAGCATCATCGTCAGTGATCATCGTCGTCAGATTCATCGCCATCATCACCATCACCATCATCAGCATCGTCATCATCGGCATCATCATCAGCAGCGTCAGCATCAGCATCATCATCATCATCATCAGCATCATCATCAGCATCATCAGTATCATCATCATCATCAGCATCAGCATCATCATCACCAGCATCATAATCATAAGCTTCATGCTCATCATCATCATCATCATCATCAAAGACAGCATCACCGAAAACATCAGCATCAGCATCAGCATTATCATGATCATCATCAGCAGCATTATCATCGTAAACAGCATCGTAATGTGATTATCAGCATCATCACATTCGTAATCATATCGTCGTCGTCGTCGTCCGTATCATCATCAGCATCATCATCATCAGCATCATCATCATCACCATCACGATCATGATCATGATCAGCATCGCCATTATCATCATCACCACCATGATGGATAAGCATCACCACCATCATGATCATGATCATGATCACGCTCATGATCATCATCATCATCATCATCATCATCATCATCATCATCATGATGGGCATCGTCATCATCATCAGCAGCATCATCGACCTCATCATCTTTGTGGCATCGTCATATTCGTCAGAAGCATCAGCATCAGCATCATCATCATAATCATCAGCATCATCATCATGACCAGTATCAGCATCATCATCATCGTCATCATCATCAAAATCAGCATCAGCATCATCATCAGCATCATCAGCACCATCATCATAGTCGTCATCATCATCATCACCACCATCATCATCATCATCATCATCGTCATCGTCATCGTCATCGTCATCGGTATCATCATCATCGTCATCATCATCATCATCATCATCATCATCATCATCATCATCATCATCATCATCATCGTCATCGTCATCGTCATCGTCATCATCTTCATCACGGCACCAACAGCCTGGAACAGTCGCCCCCCAGAACGCCAGACTGGCACGGTGGGGGGCTCCACAGACAGCTACACGCCTTTACGTCAGAGGCCCACGGCGGTCCTGCTTCGCTTTGAACTTTCGGGCCAGACTGGCGTCATCGACCTTCTTGTCAAAGAAGGTCGAGGGCAGCATGTTCGGGAACAGGCGCAGGGCGAAGGGGAGCAGCACCTGCGGCGCCGCGGCGGCGGGACCAGGGGGGGCGGAGTGCCCTCCTCGTCCTCCTGCTCTGGCAGCCCCCTCCAATCCTTGAGTCGGCTACACGCAGGAGTGACCCTGGGCAAGAGTGACCTTTGGTGCGCGACTTTTTGGGGCCGCGGCGGGGCCAAACCTGGGAGCGCAAGCAGCTGCTACTGCCTCGTTTTTAGCCATCTGGGGACCCATCTGTGCCCGCACCGAAAGTCACTCCGGCGAAAGGTCACTCTTACGTCTAGTCGATTGAGGGGCTACGCCAGGTGGGGACCAGCTCAGGGGGGGGAACATCGCGCTGGAGTCGGCGACACCTCGGCGACGATCCGGTCGGCCCTGGGCCCCCCAAAAACGCAGGGAGCCCGCGCGTTCCCGAGAGCGGGGTGGGCCACTCGGGCCCACCCATGGCGGCGACCAGTGGGCGCCCCGGGGCAGGGCAGCCCCCCGTCGACCAAATGACCCCTCCCTGACGCTGCCCCCCTTACCCCTCCCCTCGTTCTGCGCCCCGCCCTCCCGTGCGGCAACCCGAAGGTGCCGACGCCGCCAACTGCTCCCCGGACCACTCCCAGCGTGCGCTCTGACAGAAGGACTGCGAGGCACATCCAGCGGTGGCGACGAGGGCCTCCCAGGAGACCCTGGCAGGGGGGAAAACGAGCGAAGGGCAGCAGTATGGGTGCCTCTTCCTCTTCAGATGCCCACACCTCCCTGCTCCATCCCTGCCTCCCTGCTCGGTCACCCGCAGTTGTCCGCGTTGAGCACGGAGGGTAATGTTTCGAATAAAGGGCGGCGCCAACGTCAGTTGTTCTTGGTTGAGCGGACGTCCCAGAATCTGCACGGCATCGTCGTGTCGTCCCTGGATGGACCCATTCAGCGCGCGCAACACGTGACCGACGGACGGGTGGGTCACAAAAAAAACGGATGAGAACAACAATTATTTCACTTGCATTCTGGGCCTCAACTTGAGGCGACGCATCCCATTTCAACCCGTCTCCCGTGCGCACAAGCTGGTTCAGAAAAACAAAGTGTGTCCCTTGCATTCTGGGCCTCAACATGAGGCGAAGCACTGCCACTCAACATGTTTCCCATGCGGCGAGCGCACAACAGGTGACCATCGGACGGGTGGGTCGCCTGAAAAACTGGCAGAGAAAAGCCGACCGATTCGTTCACTCGAATTCCAGCTCCAACACGAGGCAATGCATTCCCATTAGAATCGGTTCCCAACAGGTGACCCACGAACGGGTGGGCCACCGGAAAACTGGCTGAGAAACAGATTGTGTCACTTGCATTCTGGGCCTCAACATGAGGCGACGCACTGCCACTCAACATGTTTCCCATGCGGCGAGCACCACAACAGGTGACCCACGCACGGGTGCATCACCTGAAAAACTGGCTCGGAAAAGCCGTTCCCGCTCAGATCGTTTCCCGTACGGCGCGCGTGCATAAGTTGACCCACGCACGGATGGGTCACCAAAAATGCGAAATCCAATTGTTTCACTTGCAGTCTGGGTCTCAACATGGGGCGGCGCATTGCCTCTCAATACGATTCCCGCACGGCGCGCGCAACAGGTGAAACGGACGAGTGGGACACTAAACAAACTGTTAAAAATCAACAAATTGTTTAATTAGCAGTCTGGGCCCTAACATGAAGTAATACATCCCCGCTCAATACTATGCCCGTTACGGCTCGCGCGCAACAGGTGACCCACGCACGGGTGGGTCACCAGAAAACTCGCTGGGGGAAAAAATGTTTCATTCGCGTTCTTGACCTCAACATGAGGCGGCGCATTACCACTCGACATGGTTCCCATGCGGCGCGCGCACAACAGGTGACCCACGCACGGGTGGGTCACCCGAGAACTGCTTCAAAAAAACAATGTGTTGCACTTGCTTTCAGGGCCACACCATGAGGCAGTAAATTCCCGCTCTAAACGTTTCCGTGCGGCGCGCGCGCAACAGGTGATACACGCACGGGTGGGTCACTGGAAAACTGGTTGAGAAAAACAATGTGTGTCACTTGCACTCGGGGCATCAGCATGAGGCGACGCACTGCCACTCAATATGTTTCCCATGCGGCGAGCGCACAACAGGTGACCCACGGACGGGTGAGTCACCAGAAACTGGTTCAGAACAACCAATTGTTTAATTTGCAGTATGGGCCCCAACAGAGGCAATGCATTCCCACATACGCTTCCCGTACTGTACGCGCAAGACCGGTGACCCACGCAAGGGTGGGTCACCCGAAAACTGGTCGAGAAAAACAATTGTTTCACTTGCATTATGGGCCCATATATGAGGCGATGCATTGCCTCTGAATGCGTTTCCTGCGCAGCGCGTACACAACAAAAAGTGATCCACGGACGGGTGGGTCACCAGAGAAGTGGTTAAAAAAACAATTGTGTCACTTGCACTCGGGGCCTCAACATGAGGCGATGCAATGCCACGCAATACGTTTCCCATGCGGCACGCGCACATCAGATGACCCACGGACGCGTGGGTCGCCAGAAAGCTGGTTGAGAAAAACCGATTGTTTCACTTGCATTCTGGACAGCACGTCGTCTTCGGCGTCACTTCTCCTGTCGTCGTCTTCGTAGTCTCCTGCTTCGACGTCGTCGTTTCCTTCTTCCCTTCCTGTTACTCCTGTTTCCTCTCCCCCTCTTCCTCCTCCTCCTCCTCCTCCTCCTCCTCCTCCTCCTCCTCCTCCTCTTCCTCCTTCTCCCTACCTCCCTCCCTCTCTCCGTCTCTCCCCCCCTTCCTCCTCCTGTTTCTCATCCACTTCCTCCCTCGTCCTGCATGAAACATTCCCAGAAAGCCCCCCAGCCTGAGGCCCCCAAAGGCTCCCTGGAGGCTTCCCAGAGGCAACACAGAAGCTCCTCAAGGGCGCCCCAGAGATTCCCAGAGGCTCCGCAGAGGCTCCCCACGACCCCCCCTTAGGTCCACTCAAGGAATTCGATGGGCTTGCCCGAAGATCTCCATGTCTCTGTTGGATTCCTGGGGATTCCTGGGGGCTCATGGGCAACGCAGGGGGGGGTATGCCTCCGACTTGGGGGCACGGCCGCATTTCTGAATGGTTATTATTCCGGGTGCCTTCGGCGGAACCCGGGTCAAACTCGGCGAGCGCCACGTCATACGACCCGACAGGCGCCTCCCCCCCCTTCCCTCCCGCAGCCCGGAGGCCGCTGCCTGCTCCTCACACCTGCCTGCCCCCCTCGGGGATGGACAGACCTCCCTTTAGTAAAACGTGGCTTAGTGAAAACGACCTGAGGCCCAAACCTGGCGGGCGCGAGCCTGGAAAATAACGGCCACGGCGCCCTCTCGAGAACCGAAAACGGGCAATTCACTAATCGACGTGTCACTGTTGGGGGTTCTGTCCCCCCCCGACCCCCCCTTCTCCTGCTTGGTCATCCAGACCTGCCCGAGGGGGAAGCGGCCCGACCGTGGCTCCGAGGGGGAGCCGGCCGTGGCGGCGAGGACGCCCGCAGCGGCGCAAAAAGCACCATCACCGAGAGCACAGAGAGATCGATCCTCGATCCTGCTCGTGCTGATCCTGGTCCTCCCCTGTCCCTCTTCATCCTCATCACCCTCCCGCTCCTCCTCGACCCCCCTCCTCCTCATCCACATCATCATCATCATCATCATCATCATCATCATCATCATCATCATCATCATCATCATCATCATCATCATCATCATCATCATCATCATCATCATCATCATCATCATCATCATCATCATCATCATCATCATCATCATCATCATCATCATCATCATCATCATCATCATCATCATCATCATCATCATCATCATCATCATCATCATCATCATCATCATCATCATCATCATCATCACCATCATCATCATCATCATCATCATCATCATCATCATCAACAACAACAACAACAACAACAACAACAACAACAACAACAACATCATCATCATCATCATCATCATCATCATCATCATCATAATCATAATCATCATCATCATCATCATCATCATCATCATCATCATCATCATCATCATCATCATCATCAGCATCCTCGATCCTCCCCGACCATGCCCGATCCTCCTCCTCCTGCTCCTCCTGCTCCTCCTCCTCATTCGCGATGCTCCTCGATCCTCATCCTTCTCCCTCTCATCCTCCTCCCGGTCCTCGTCGATCCTCCTCCTCCAGCTGCTGCTGCCGCCCCCTTCTCGGAACAGAGCACGGGAGAGCCTCCGCGAAGGGCACTATGATGAAGAAAGAGAACGGTATCAGCTTCAGGCAGTCCGAGGTGGTGCGCACGAGCAACTTTCGCTGGCGGACCTCGCCGGGGGGAGAATGAGGACCCGGACCCCTCTCCGCGGCGACGGGGGCTCGGCCTCTCAGGAGGCCGGCCGGGCGAAGACGAGGCATCGGCGTCGATGTCGGCACACGCTCCTCCCCTGGGTAGACGAGTCGGCGAATAGAGTCGCGGCATCTCCTCTCGCAGCCCGAACAAACACACGTCACTGACAAAAGGGCGGCCGAGGCGGAAAATCGAGCCCCTTTCGTACCCAAACTGTTCCTTAGTTCAACGTCTTGACTGTGGATGGGGTCGGAGGATCGCGCCGCATCGCAGATGCATCGCCGATTCATCGACGATGCATCAACGATACATCGGCGACGTCGGCGGTGCATCGGCGACGCCGGCTTGGAGAAAGTCGGGCTCCACATGAAGCGAGATCGTCCGATCCCATCTACTCCGACCCCATCTGGGAGGCCTAGATCCTCCTCATCCTCCTTCTCCCTGGACCCTCTCCCATTTTCAAATAAAAAACACGACGCGGGGGGGGTCGTTATTTTCAGCCTCCAAGGGCCCTCACCGGGCCCCGTGACCATCAAAAACCGACTCAGGATGAAAAAACGACCCCTGGGAAAGGGTCGAGACCTCTGGGGGTCGATGTTGTCAACAAACCACGACGTCGGGGTTCTGGATGCTCCTTCTCCACCTCCTCCCTCGTCGTTCTCACGGGTTCCACGGAAAGCCGTAAGCCTCTTGAAGTAAAGGGGGGGCTAGCGAATCAGCTCACGGAGCTGATTTCCGCGGCGCCTTCTGAGGCTGGGAGTCGCCAGTATATCGAGGAATGCGCCAGGCAGGCGGCGGGACCGAAACCAGCCACACGCGGATGAACTGCCCCCTTCTTTATCCCTCCATCTCGTCCCAACCGAGAGTACTGAAGCGCAGAAGCGGTCAGCATCGAATCGGTAATTCGGATCGGATTGAAACGGGCGTCGGATCAGGGCCGCATCGGCAACGGAATCGCAACCGAATCGGATCGGCCGCGCCAAGATGCGCAACGGCGCTATGCCAACCATGGAACCGTGTGGAATTGTCAGAATGTCGGAATCGAATCAAATCGGTACAGCTGGATTCGATGCTGTCAAGATGAACGATAAGGATGGAATCTAAGGATGAAAGAACCTTGGAACGGCGCCAACGCCATGAATTCGCGCGCCAAAACGTGACCAGGATGGCCAGAACCTAGGGATGCAAGGTGCCCTTGCAACAAAAGCCCATCCGTAACGCCATTTTGACCTGCATCGAATCGGGCAGGCTCGGTCGGAGTGGGCCCTGCAGTGAGGAGAGCAGGACCGAGCACAGAAACGCAACGATGCCTGGGAAAGCTGGCAAAGGCGTCCGGGGTGCAGAAGGGCATTACAGCAAAGCTCCCCTGGCAGCGCAGAACCGACCAGATCAGACAGCACAGACATGGGAGAGAAACCAATAGGTACCGATACCACCGTTCCCCGGACCTCTCCCAGGGTGCGTTCTGACCGGAATCTCGGGGAGAATCCGGCCGTGTGGACGAAGGCTCTCTGGGACGAGCAGCAGCGCCGATCAATTATCATCCTCTGGGACATGTTGCAGCATGGTGGCGGCGCGCAGAGGGGGGGAAGGAGGAGGAGGAGGCGGAGGAGGAGGAGGACAAAGAGGAGAAAGAGGAGGAGGAGGAGGAGGAGGAGGGGGGGAGGGCAACTTAGGTGCGCTCGCGTCAACATCTGACATCCTACCCCTCCCTCCCATCCCTTACTCTGGCGCTGATTCTCTCTGTCCGCGGACGCGTGTCGTAGCGGACCTGTGGCTCCGCGCGCGTGTGCGTAGTGGGTGGTGGTGCGCGTGCGTGCGTGCGTGTGTGCGTGGTTGTGGTTGTTGTGGTGGTGGTGAGTATGTGTGTGTGCGCGTGTGTGCGCGTGTGCTGTGGTGTGACGTGGTGTGGCGTCTTGGTGGTTTGGTGGTGGGCCAGGTGCGTACGTGCGTGATGGCGGTGGTGGTGGTGTGTGTGTGGTGTGTGTGTGTGTGTGTGTGTGTGCGTGTGTCTGTGTGTGTGTGTGCGTGCGTGCGTGTGTGTCTGTGTGTGCGCGCGTGTGATGTGGTGTGACGCGGTGTAGCGTGGTGGTGGTGGGTGGGGTAGTGCGGTGGTGGTGGCGGTGCGCGGTGGTGGTGCGCGTGCGTGCGTGCGTGCGTTGGTGGGTGAAGTGGCGGTGGGTGTGCGTGCGGCGGGGCGGGGCGTGGTGCGGCGCGGTGGTGGCGGGCGGATGGGCGCGCGAGAAAGAGGCCCGCGCTGGGGCGAGAACGCCATCCTGAACGACGGAGGCAAAACACCGATCCGAAAATGAGGCCCACGCTGCAGCGGGAGCACGATTCGGAACGATTCGGGAGCAGAAATGAGGCCGGCGCCTCAGCGAGAGCAGCATTTTGAAAAAAAACGCAGGCGAAAACCCAACTCCCGGGAATCCTGTGTGTAAAAAAACAGTACGCGGGGGGGGTCGAATATTCCCAGGCCGCCATCAGGGGAAGAGGGAGAGTAGTATTCATATTGAGTAATTGTAAAGAGGGGAAGGCTTACTAGGAGGCTGCTTCTTAGAAGGCGCCGGCCATACGTCCATCGACGAGGCACGCACCCTCCAAGAAGCAGCCTCCTTCTGAGAAGCCATCCCCCCTGCCCCTGCCCCCCTCTGCGCGTACAGTCGGGGCCTTGACCTAAGGAACCCTAAATAAGGAACGAGGCCCTTTTTTCCATAAGTTTAACTTCGATTTCCCATCGAAAACATAAGGAAAACCTGAGGCAAGCTACGAAACACTTACGGAACGCGTAGCCCCTCCCCAACGAAAAGGGTTCCTTCTTCAGGGCCCCGACTGTAGCCGAGCATGGGGCTGTCCGAGCGGCATGGCCCAACGGCGCCCGACACGGGAGATGTTTCAGCACGCGCGTCGCCGCCTGCAGGGGCGGCGCCCACAGCGCAGGAGCACCGACCCAGCGCGTGTGCCCCCTGTGGCCCGGCCAGCGCACCGGAGGACGAGGAGGAGAGGCGGAACGAGGACGAGGAGGAATGGGACGACGTGGAGAAGGGGGCAAGGAGGAGGAGGCAGAGGAGGACGAGGCAGCAAAAAGCGGCAGGAGGACGACGAAGCGAGAGGAGTAAGGAGGAGGAGGAGGAGGAGGAAGAAAGAGGGAGGAGGGAGAAGAGGAGGAAGACGAGGAGAGAGCGAGAGAAAGATGGAGTGTGGGGGGGAGAACAGGGGATAGGGGAGAGCAAGAGGGGCCAACGGGCACCCTCGACATGTCCACTCAATTCAGCCAAAGCTTGCCGGGCCAGAAATGCGCCGCACGAGCATGCGCAATAGTCTACGTCTCCATGCATCCGTAAACGGCAGTTGCATTATCATTGGCAGCCTCGAAGAGTGGCAAAGTGGCTGCGCAGGACACCTCTCAATCTCGACATGAGACACCCCATGCTGGCGATGCAAGTGCTTACGCAAGTAACCAAACCAACAAAACTCGTCGAACATGCGCTACTACGTACATGGTATGGTCATGATGGCAGGTCCCCACCGTTCTTCGCAGGAGTGGAGCCCTGACTGACTCAACGAACGACTCAACACAATTACGAGCAACGCTACTGCATGTTCGCTGGAGCTTCGTGGGAATCAACAAGTACGTGGAGAGGACTTGCTTTGTCCTATTCACGTGCAAGCAACACTCTAACAAGAAAGAAGCGGTCTGACCGTTAGTGGAAAGCCTTGTAATACACGCTTCGCCAGAACGAAAGAAGTTCGCAAATCTGCCCAGAATAACCGGAACCCTGTAGCCACCCAGGTACAAAAATGCGCCACCGTGTCCCGAATGTCCTGGCCCCTCCCCTATGGAGGATTCGGCAAACTCCGACTGCCGCGCAGACGAGCATGCAGAATGTCAAGCACACCAGCGACAGCCTTTTAAACCACGTATGGTATGCCTGCAGGCGCTGCGCACGCACACCCACGCACTCGCTCACCCACTTATACACACAACCATGTGCCAAGCAGGCGATCACTGTCTCGGTATGCACGTGCACAGCTGTGAATCAAAGTTGTGCAACTCGCTTCGCGCCGCGCCGAACGCGAAGTGCGGCTGGGCTCCCGCTGTTTCACCGACGACCTGGCAGGGACAGCTGCCCTGCCTGGCCCGCGTAGCGTGGCGTCGCCCTCCCGCGGGCCCCCCCGGGCACACACGTGTGATCAGACGGCCAGGCGCACACGTGTTGAACCTGCACCGTGCAACTGCTGGACAGAAGCAACCAGTGAACAACAAAGGCACGCGCTTGCGACAGCGACTGCGCGAACAAGAGATCCACCGACCGCTTAATTCTGGGGGGACAAGGCGGGAGAGATGTCAGGCTGCCCCCCTTTCCCTGGCCTGCCCTCCCCAAGGCTCCGACACCTTCTGATACCTGAATGCGTACCCTCCCTGCCACCTGGCCTTCCGAAAAGCGTGCCCCGCCCCCGGCACACCCACACTGCCCAAGATACCCAAAGTTGGCTCGGGACGGCCCAACGGCGCCACTCGATGGCGAAAATATGTTCAAGACAGCTCCAGGCTGGGGTGTGCGGAGACCCCACAAAATACCCGCAAGACAACCCAACAGACAGACCAAGAGAGCCGCAAGAGACCTGCCGAGTCAGCCCAACAGGACCAAACGAAAGCCCCCAGAGACTAAAGTCGCCCAAACATATTTATGTATATATACATACATACACACACACATACATACATACATACATACATACATACATACCCACACATACATACATACATACATACATACATACATACATACATACATACATACATACATACATACATACATACCTGATTACCTACCTACATACATATTTATATGCACACATGCATGTAATCATCCATACGTACATACATACATACATACATACATACATACATACATACATACATACATACACACATATACATTTATGGTCCAACAACACTGGTTGCACTCAGGGTGTTGATGTTGCTTTGTTCCACGGAGCAAAGCATTGGTAGCGGTCTGGCGGCTCCGCGCTCGACGTCGCCACCCCGTCGCCGCCCTTCGTCTGGGCCCAGGTGGCGGTCTGGCGGCTCCGTGCTCGCCGTCGCCGCCTCGACGCAGCCCGTCGCCTGGATGTCGGTGGCGGTCTGGCAGCTAATGTGCCCGTCTCCGCCGCCCCGCATCCGCCCCGTAGCGGCCCACAGATTGCACAACACATACGTTCCACCACATGTGTCGCGCCACACAGATTGCACCACGAAGTTCCTCAGCAAAGATTCCCCTTTTCTAACTTAAAAGAGACAAGACTCGATTCTTCCCCATCCCAGGATGATCGACCCCATTTTTTCGTATTGCTTGTACATTCGATATTGCCCCATCGTCCATCCTAGATATGAATTCGCACCACCCAAGAGACGCCGGCATCGACCTCCGTCATCCTATGCAAGACATACTATGCACGCACACCCGCTCATCAACAGTCACCAGTGTTCAAACATGGTTGGCAAAGAATGGGACGAAGTGCGCACGCGCGCGTCGTCGCGCGCGTGTGCCAAAATCCTGCAAACAAGAACTTCGATGTCGGATGGACGTCAAGATCGAGAGTCCAAAAACATGCGCAAACACACGGTTTCGCAACACGGGTTCCCCAAACAAGAGAAACAATATATAACCGCAACACACACACACACACACACACACACACACACACACACACACACACACACATACACACACACACAAACAAACAAAAAAATGAAACAGAAGAAACAGAACAACAAAAAAAACAACAACAACAACAACAACAACAAAGAACGCGGCCGCATTATTGCGAATTTTGAAAGAAACACTGGTTTTCAATACGTTCACCGAAAAAAACTACCAAGGGAGTCTGGCGCGCGCATGCCGAAATCGTTCGAACGCGTTTTGCGCGCGTGCCGTCGCGAGAAGCCTCCTTTGCAAAATATGAAACGAAGTGCACGAGCGCGCGTCGTCGCGCGCGCATGCCGCAATCGCGCAAAAGCCATCGATGTCGGAGGGACTGCACGGTCGACTGCCGAAAACACATCCGCGCGCGCGCTCTGGCGAATCCTTGGGCGAACCATAGGTTGTTCAACATGTTCACGGAATTTTGCACAACCGGCCTCTGGCGCCGCATGCCGACATCAATCGCACGCCCTTGAGCGCGTGCCGGGGGGGGGCACGATCCACGCCAAATAAAACCAAGCGAGCCATTTTCGCGCGTCGGCCGCGCGCGCACGTCGAACTTTCGCCAAACCCTTCATCACCGACGCGACGACGCCGTCATCGTCGCCAGCGTAATCAGCATCGGCGCCCGCACTGGCCGCGCTTTCGTCGGTGCGAGCATAGCTACGATCGGCACCGTGTCTACCGTTGTCGGCGTTGCCATGATACCGTGACCGCCCGCATCGCCGACTCGCAATGAAGTGCCCGCTGAGATGCGCCCAGCGGTTTGCGCCACCGCGGCCGCGTCGGTGGCGCCAAACTAGCTGGCCGCTGCGCGCGCGTACTAGGATTGGCGCGCCGCTGATATGCACCAGCCAACGCCAAGCATGCTTCGCAATCGCCACCGTATGGGTGTTTTGCAACCCCAGTTGCGCGTGGGCGAATCGGATGTTTGCAAGAACATGGGATTTGTCAACTCGTCTGTTAAAATCACTTGCACCACATGCATTGCACCAGGTAAGGCGCACAACATATATTACTCAACATCGATGCTTCCTCCAAGGCTGCACAATGTAAGCGTACACATCAAGAAACTATTATGTATACACACGTGTATATGTTATCTGTCCTTTTTGCTTGTTGGGAGAAAATGTTTATCAAGCCCGCAAGAAACAACAGGTTCAAAGGCACCCCTCTTCGCAGAGTAATTTTTACAGATGCTGGCCCAACGCCCGCCCCACAGGCGAAGCCGTTCCATCCCAAGCAGGCGGGCAGCGCCCCCCCCCCCTCACCCTCTGCATATGTATATATATATATATATACATATATATATATATGTATATATATATGTATGTATACATCTATGCATTCGTGCGTGTGTGCAAGCACACACGCCCATCAACAATCACTGGTTTTCATAAGCCCAAAACAAAGACTGAAAAAAACGGGACGCAATGCACGCGCGCGCGTCGTCGCGCATGCCGAACTCCGTCGACAATATTCAGGCCCGCAACGTTTAGCAACGGAGGCTTTCAACAAACAAAATTGCGCACACCCTCTTGAGAACTCCAAATGGAAACCACTTTTTCCCTGGCTACCAAACCGGCCATTGCCCGCATCGAGATCGGTCAAAAGCCTATACGCGTGCGCTGTCGCAAAAATCCGTGGCAACACACGTAACGAAATGCGCGCGCGTCGTCGCGCGCGAATCCCGAAACCCGTTAAAAACACAAAGCGTCGCACGGGTGTCAAAAAAAACGAGTACCCCGAAAACATGACGAACACACATGGTTTTGCAATACCAACTTGCAAATAAAAGAAAACTGCGTTCGCGAGTGTTGCCGGTTCTTGGGGAAGCCATGGGCTTTCAACATGATCATGGAGCTATGTCAAAATGGGCCACTCGCGCAGCATATCGAGATCATTCGACAACCCCTTGCGCGCGTGCTGGGGGGGGATTCCGTGTCAAATAATACGACGCGGGCCACCTCGCGCGCGTCGCCCGCGCGCGCATGTCGAACTGTTTCAAAAAACTGCGTCGCCGACGCGAGGACATCGTCAGGCCGGCGTGATCAGCATCGGCGCCGTCATTGGCCTTGCCGTCGTCATCGCCGCCATCGTCACTATCATCGCTACTCCCCTAACCGTGTCTATCGTTGTCAGAGTCGCCATGATACCGTGCCCGCCCGAATCACCGACTCGCACTGAAGTGCCCGCTGGGGAGTGCCCCGCGGTCAGCGCCGCCGCGGCCGCGTCGGTCGCGCCAAACTAGATGCCCGCTGTGCGCGCGAGCATGCGCGGGCTAGCGCGGCCGCGAGGATGCACCAGCCAACGCCACGCACTCATCGCAGTCCCGGCCGCATGTGCTTTTGCAAACCAGGTTGCGGGTGGGCGGGCGGGTTGTTTGCAAGGGCAAAGAATGCCGATTCATGTGTAAATATGCTTTGCACAACAGACGCTGCGCAACACATATATATATATATATATATGCATATATATATGTATATATGTATATCGAGAGAGAGAGAGAGAGAGAAAGATATTACGCGACACTGATTGCAAAACGCAGACTGCACCAAAATATGGTCAAACTTATATATATATATATACATATATATAACAACTTAGACAATGTTGGAGCCCACTCAGGCTATCATAGATCTACGAGTATGTCTATACGTGTATGCTCCGAGGGTTGCGCAAGGCGTCACAAAAAAAACTACATGTCAGTGCAAATCACCAGACGACGAACAACTTAAATTGTCGGCCGGCCAATGGGCGCTCCATCAGCTCGCACACATCCTCCTGTGGCCAACGCGTGCGAGTGCCCTCGACGACGGGCTCCCTTTCGACATTCGTTCTCGAGCGCATCCAAAATTGCAATTTCGTTAGGCAGAATCTGTGCAAACCGCTGGGATGCTGGCAGATCTCCGCCCATCACATCTTCCTGCGGGAGTCGCAGAGATGGCCGAGCAGGGCAAGGCAAACCCCAAAGACAGTATTGCAGGCTGGGCAAGCGCCGCTCGCAGCAGCGTAACATCTCTGCGCGCACCTTTCACCGTGCTTGATCCGGCGGTGCTGTGCGAGCTGCATGCGGGCGTGGACAGCCACGCCGCAAGCATCGCATCGAAAAACAGC